TGTATTAGGAGAGAAGGGAGATAAAAAGAAAGTTGGCTTCTACCTTCTCAGTGAGAGGAAACAGCAACGGGGACTAGTCTTTTATTTAATTCCTAGTGGCCCAGTGCACGGATTTGTGCACATTGAAAGGAAATTAATTAGAAGAAATATTTTAATATCGCTATTCGCCCTTTCTCTATAATAGAAGTGTCAACCAAATTCACAATCGGCAATGACAGATCAAAACACTCATGTGATTGGTGCCAGCGAGAGCTTTATATGTATTGCGCATGCATGAGTCACCTTAGCCTTTTACATATATAGAAAGTAAACTTGCTTAATTAGACCTGCTTTCTGATGTAGCTAAACTTTTTCCAGCCCAGTGAAGCACCCCAACTTCTCTTTCAGGTAACTGTCAGCAACATAGCAGTAAATATCAACATGAAGCACATTATTATTGTAGATCACACAGGGAGAACAAGGGTAAAATATTTAGCTGCAGCAGTGTTTGACTATATTCTGCGCAGTGAGAAAACCTGAAGTCATTTTCAAGGTCCACCATTTCTTCTTTTCAGTAGGATCAAGTTTCTAAACTTTCTAGATCTCCGTTTTCTGACTAATGGAAAGAAAATAGGATTCCACCGAGTCGCCTGTCTACCTACTCTAGGACTTCTGTGAGGATCAAATGAGATGAGGCATGGGAAAACACTTCACAGACATTTGGTTAAAGTGTAAAATGTTTGCACCTGGCTATAAAGCAAATCGTGTTCCTGGGCTAAAGAAACTGTAAGGAGGCTAGTCGTCACTAGGGAGAGGAAGCCAGGCATTGCTATGTGATGTCATTACCTGGACAGTCGGACACTTAACATATTAGCCTTTTATATAGATTTTTATTATTATTAATATTATTATTCTTTGGCCAAAGCCGGTTTGGCTCAGTGGATAGAGCGTCGGCCTGCGGACTGAAGGGTCCCGGGTTCGATTCCAGTCAAGGGCATGTGCCTGGGTTGTGGGCACATCCCCAGTGGGAGATGTGTAGGAGGCAGCTGATGGATGTTTCTCTCTCATTGATGTTTCTAACTCTCTATCTCTCTCCCTTCCTCTCTGTAAAAAATCAATAAAATATATTTTTAAAAAATATTATTATTCTTTAATCCTCACTCACAGATATTTTTTTTCCAGATTTTCAGACAGAATGGAAGGGAGGAAGGGGGTAGGGGAGAGAGAAACATCCACATGAGAGAGACACATTGATCGGTTGCCTCCCACATGCTCCCCAACTGGACAGGGGATCAATCCACAACTGAGGTACAGACCCTTAGCCAGGAATTGAACCCTGAACCCGTTGGTCCAATGTCTAACCACTGAGCCAAAGCAACCAGGGCTGGGACTAGTCTTTTAGATCCGGGTGAATATATACACCCAGTCCCTGTAATGAAATTCAGGAAGACCACAAAAAGGGCTCAAGTTTTTCGACAGTATTCCACCTATGACTGGGACTGAAAGCAGAAAACCATTTTAGAAAGAAAAGGGAGGAAGAATTTATCTCATTTAATTTAATAGAGCTGTTTGACCTAGTTCTGTGAAACAGGTGTTGTTTCCCCAGGTTTTTTAAAATGAGAGAGAGTACTCATTAAGTTTCTCTGATCTCTGTTATTTGGGTGCTCTTTCATGGTCCCTTTTCCTCTAATTATGACAGCTAAATTTAATATAACAGCTAGAAACCTAATAAAGTGTTTTTTTCTCCTGCCAATTCTAATGTTTATGAGGGGTTTTTTTTCTCCTCCATAAACAAATAGCTTTCTCCATTATCCCAAATATTTTTTTAAGTATATTTTTATTAATTTCAGAATGGAAGGGAGAGAGAAAGAAACATTGATGAGAGAGAATCATTGATCAGCTGCCTCTTGCATGCCCACATTGGGGAATCCAGCCAGCCACCTGGGCATGTGCCCTGACGGGGATCGGACTAAGACCTTCTGGTTTATAGGTCCATGCTCAACCACCGAGCCATACCGGTTGGGCCCAAATATTCTCCCCCCCCCCTCCCCAAATATTCTTAAAATGTGTATGATGCTTACACATTTTGCAATCTATATGTGTACTCTTTTTTTCACTTTACTCTGATATTTTTCATTTTGATAGTTGCTTAGTATTTCATTCCATTAATATCATTATTTGGCACTGGTATTCTCCATTTTTTGTTGTTATAAATATCCCTCACTTTCTCTGCAGAGCCAAAGGTAGGATATTGTCGAGGAACTTTTAGTGATTCTCCTGTAATCTCATTACAGGGAGTAGGAGTAAGTATATTCACCAAGGTCTTAAAGACTAGCCCCAGTTGCTGCATTTTCTCTCATTGTTCTTGGGTACTAACTAAAATGCTAGTTCCCCTCTCTGTATTCAGGAGGTGGGTTGTGTGTTTTTGTAAATCTTTTAACCTTGAACTTTTGCTTCTGCAGTGCTTCCTCTTTCTCATTCAGAAAACCTATTTCCTGCTGAGTCTGCAAATAGGAGACCAGAGACTGGAGATTCTGGCCTTACCCATGGAAACTCAGGCTGATCATGCATCTCAGGAACCTCAGTCCCTGCTTGAGAGTGGTATGGAATAGGGGATTCATTTATTCTTTTATTCAGTCATTCAACAGTCATCTATTGAAATTTCAGGTACTAGGATAACTGCTAGAATCCTGATATGATTAAGGTTTGTGGGTTCCTTGTGCAAGAGTAAGAAAACTTTGATAGTCACCAAATTCCATTTTCTAGGGGCTTTGTAGCAGCCAACAGTGTTTTGGGATTTGTAGATTGGGGGATGGAGTGATATGTCTTCAGTCAGGGATGGGGTGAAGCTCCTAGTTTTCCTCTGGTCTAAGAGAACTTCATGCGATAGTTTGAATTCAGTGATGTGGTGAATGATGGAAGGGATATGAGCAGGACAGCCTGTGTTTCTGGCCAAGTTTGGGAGAATGGACAAGAACACATTCATCACTAATTACAGGACTGGGCAACTTTCATTGAGAGTAGAGTGACTGGAGAGGAGGAAGGGACTGAGGGCAGAGTAGAGAGCAAGAATCAGTAAGGCTTTAGACATCTCTCTTTGGGATGTGCCCACACTAAATGTGCCTGTTATAAGCACCCTTAGTAGCTGCAGAGGAAGTGAGCTTAAAAATGTCAGAGGAGTGGGTCCTAGGTTGTCCCAGGACCCTATGAGTTTTCTGTATGTTGGGAGGCCAGATAGCAGCAGATAGACTCACTCATAGACCCTTTTATTGTCCTCAGGTCTTCCTTCCTCAAAAGTTCCCACATTTTCCAACAAGGACAGTCTGGGGGATGAGATGCTGGCAGCTGCACTCCTAAAGGCCAAGTCCCAGGTAAGCTGTGGTCTTCTTAACCTCATTTCGTTACCATTTTATGGACATTTTTGGTACAGCAACATCCCATGCAATGCCCCAACCACAATTCACTCCATCAGGACTGTGGTCCTTTCCTTCTGAGTAAGACTTTCTTTCTTGGACTGTCATCTCTCTTCACCCTAATTACCTTTCCCCAGATTCCCAAATATTATTCAACCCCATCTCAAATTATTTTTTTTGGTGCTGCCAGTCCTACCCCTGAAATTGCATGCAGGAATGTGTTGTTTCAGGAGTTGGTGACATTTGAGGATGTGGCTGTGTACTTTATCCGGAAGGAGTGGAAGCGTTTGGAGCCTGCTCAGAGGGATCTCTATAGAGATGTGATGCTGGAGAATTATGGGAATGTATTCTCATTGGGTAAGGAGTTAATGCTTTTTCAATAAAACTCCCTTGGCATTTCTTTGCTTCCTTATTTGCTAATAACAGTTGAGTCAGTGAAAATAATTAACTAAGGACTTAGTCTCAGAAAATTCTAACAGTAATAATAGTAACTCCCATTTGTACAGTACTTTGCAGTTTATAAAGAGGTTTCGTATATATATTCTCTCACTTAATCTTCACAGTAACAGCCGTGGAAGTAGCAAGAGTTATCCTCATTTTATAGGTGAGGAAAGGGAGGTCAGAGGTCTTAAGTGTTTTACACATGGTCATATAGCTGGTTGGTGGCAGCTCAAGCCCTGGTCTTTTAAGTCCAAATATGATGCTTTTCCATGCTATTCTTAGAATTTAACATATAATCCAGAGACTTTTCCAAAAGATTAGCATATTGGGATCCTTGAACTTGTGAAGTACTGGTCTGTGCCCAAGTGAACATTCTGGAACTCTGCCTATCTCCTTCCCTTGTCTGTTGAACTGCCTCTAGGGACTTGTTGGTTTGTTCATGATCTAATGCAACTGCTGCTCTGGTAGAAATTTTAATTTGGTATAGGGAGCAATTATCTTTTTAACCTTTAGTCTGTAGACTGTTAATTCCTTGTCTCTTTCCTACTTTCAGTGAAAAAACTTTCCTGAGCAGTGCCAGGTCTTCCCAACTCCTAATTGAGACCTCCCTGACATTTCCTTTCTGTGCCCTGCAGGTCCTAGGTCTGGGATTGAGCTCTGGGCCTGCTTGATATGAGCAGGATAAAACCTTGTTCCATGTTTTTTCCCATGAGCAGTATTCCCATTTCTGTGTTGTTGTGTTGTTTTTTTTAATCTTCATCCGAGGAATGAGGATATTTTTCCATTGATCTTTTTTTAGACCATATAGAAGGGAGGGGGAAAGGGAGGAGAGAGAGAGAAACAGCGATGTGAGAGAGACACATTGATTGGTTGCTTCCCAAACACGCCCTGATTGGAGCCGGGGATCGAACCTGCAACCCAGGTATGTGCCCTTGACTGGGCATCAAACCCGAGATCCTCTGGTGTGCAGACTGACGCTCTAACCACTGAGCTTGCCAACCAGGGCTCCCGTTTCTGTATTTTGACATATCTAGGTTGAGGAAGAGCTGAGGGTCCTGGGTTTGAAGGGAATTAAGAACAGAGAGATTCCGAAAGGTACCTGTTCAGGTGAGGGAGGAATAGCTATTTCTGTTCCTAACACTTTTTTATTGACAGCCTAAAAATGCTAATATCTAGACTCTTTATAGTTATTTTCCGTATGTGAAGTTCCCTTTATTTCTAAGACAGTGAAAATAGAGCAATCAAATATGGAAATTGTTTACATAGTCTCACAGCATAGCCTTCTAGACCTAAGGCCCAGAAATGGACTTTTGCCTGTTTCCTGAATTTGATATATGTGGCACAGCTACAAACAAGTGTTCTTTTCACCTAGGGCTATAGGAGGTCACTAATGACATCAACCTTGGTGTTCCTTCCTGCTCTGCTACTGTTTCTCAACACCTTCCCCACTTTTCTTAAACAGTTCTGGTAGTCACCATCTCCCAAATTATATCTATAGTCTTTAACCTCTCCGAGGACTTTCTCACTTCATTAAACATGTTCCTCCCTGCCTCTACCAGATCCATTCTCTCCTTACAATCCAATTTTCTCTATACTTCTAGCTGTTATCTCAATTTTGCTTCCTGCCTTTCTCCTTCCCTGTTTCCTCTTCTCTTATTTTGCCTTAGCTACACACAGCCTGGGCAGATAAGAGGCATGCCCATGATTATCCTGTCCTCTGGTTTTGATTTTTCCACAAGGAACCAGTGATGTTTGTATTTTGTATTGTGCCAGATGGTGAGACCAGAACTGAGCATGACCAAGAAATTTCTGAAGATACAGAATCAGATGGGGTGCTATTGGGAAGATTCCAAAAGGATATTTCTCAGGGTCTTAAGTTTGAAGAAGCCTATGAAAAAGAAGTCAGTCTCAAGAGGCAGCTGGGGAACTCTTCTGGAGAAAAACTGCATAGGAAGATACAAGATTTTGGTCAAGTGACAATTGAGGAAAAGCTAACCCCCATGATAGAGAGAAGTGAGAAATACGATTTTGGGAACAGCTTCACTGTGAGTTCCAACCTTATTTCACATCAGAGACTTTCTGTGGGAGACAGACCCCATAAGTGTGATGAATGTAGCAAGAGCTTTAATCGAACTTCAGACCTTATTCAACATCAGAGAATTCACACTGGGGAAAAACCCTATGAATGTAGTGAATGTGGGAAGGCTTTCAGCCAGAGCTCACATCTGATTCAGCATCAGAGAATCCACACTGGAGAGAAACCTTATGAATGTAATGATTGTGGGAAGACCTTCAGTTGTAGCTCTGCTCTCATTCTACATAGAAGGATCCACACTGGAGAGAAACCTTATGAATGTAACGAGTGTGGGAAAACCTTTAGCTGGAGCTCCACCCTTACTCATCATCAGAGAATCCACACTGGAGAGAAACCGTATGCTTGTAATGAATGTGGGAAAGCCTTCAGTAGAAGCTCTACCCTCATTCATCACCAGAGAATCCACACTGGAGAGAAGCCCTATGAATGTAATGAGTGTGGGAAGGCCTTCAGCCAGAGCTCACACCTCTACCAGCACCAGAGAATCCACACTGGAGAGAAGCCCTATGAATGTATGGAATGTGGAGGAAAGTTTACCTATAGTTCAGGCCTTATTCAGCATCAAAGAATTCACACAGGGGAGAATCCCTATGAATGTAATGAGTGTGGGAAAGCCTTTAGGTATAGTTCAGCTCTTGTTCGCCATCAGAGAATTCACACTGGAGAGAAGCCTTTGAATGTAATGGGAATGAGCAAAAGTTCTCTCAGAGTTACTGCTGAATTAAATATCAGAGAGTCAACTTGAAAGAGAGCCACACACCTCTTTTTCTCACTTCTTCTGCGTCTGAAGACCCCCTGCCTTACTATAAAAGTATGAACAACTTAGGATGTGTCCCTTCTGATGCAAATCTTCCACTTTAGAGAATGGGGAGAATTGGGCAAATCATCCTGGCACAGTAATTAGCAACCTGGTCAGTTTCCCCAGGAACAATACCAGCCTTAGAAAATTAGAGGCAAGCCGCAGATTAAGTGCTGGAAATGGAGGGAAGCTCTGGGACCAATCACCTTCCATTATGGAAGGGAGTTTGCACTAGACCGTATTTCTCATACCAAGGGAGCCTTTCTTCCCAAGCTGAGGGTGGAAGCACAGTAGGAGTAAAATTCTAAGGATTCCTCTATTGGAGTCAATATAGTCAGCACAGATGGCAGTGGAAAGAATGTTCTGGGTCCTGTTACTGAGAAAGGGAAAAGGAATTTCAAATGCGTTGAAGTAACTACAAGCTGTTAGAAAAAGAAAGGGGAAAGGATGCTGTACGTGGAAGCCACTGTTCCTAGTCCAGCTTTAAGTTTTGATAAGGAAATAGGGTGATGAGGGATTTGTTATTTGATTGGGGGTGAGGAGTTTCTGAAAGCATTCTGGCAATTTTGTTGGAGAACCAAGGACTAACTGGGAAATATAACTAATCAGTAAGTCTAACATGAGGAAATGGATCAAAAGCATTTAGCATTAGTCTTTGTTTTCTTTCCTCTTCTCTCCCTCTTCCTCACCACTCCTGTGGTAAAAAGTTATTTAATTCAAACCCTAGTGACTAAGGATGCTTTTAAGGAGCTTGCTCAGCCAGCTTGCCCTGCCCCCTATGACCTGCCCTCTGTCACATCTGGCCCAGCAGCCAAACTTCTGACCCCACCTCTGACTTCAACAGCAGAGTATGAATGCAAACAAAGAGCAAAGCCCAGAGAAGGAAGGCTCTGGCCTGTGCCTGGTGGCAGGGCTCCTTGCTGGGTTAAGATGGAGCTCCTGAATTTACCAGCTGAAGGGATGACCTCATGATGTTTTCCCAATCCTGCTCATCCTGTAGCATAAATGAAGTGCACTATTAAACAGAATAGTTTTTCAGAAGGAGGGCTTGAATGTGTTTTTGTGTAGGGGCCAAGTTTATTTTAGTTTAAACAGTGACTGTAAATGGAATCTAAAAATTAACCTTAAAAAATTTTTATAGCCAACCATTTCTCTCTTAATCACAAACATGTGACCTCTTTCCCTCAAGACTCCCATTATATTCCCTCTAGATCAGCGGTTCTCAACCTGTGGGTCGTGACCCCTTTGGGGGTCGAACGACCCTTTCACGGGTCGCCTAAGACCATCGGAAAACACATATATAATTAAGTATTGTTTTTGTGATTAATCACTATGCTTTAATTATGTTCAATTTGTAACAATGAAAATACATCCTGCATATCAGATATTTACATTACGACTCATAAAAGTAGCAAAGTTACAGTTATGAAGTAGCAACGAAAATAAATGGTTGGGGGTCACCACAACATGAGGAACTGTATTAAAGGGTCGCCGCATTAGGAAGGTTGAGAACCACTGCTCTAGATACTACTATAGACTATTCCATCATTTACACAATCTCTCCCACCTTTATATCCACATACAGGTTTTCTTGTGCTGCATATCATTCTGTGTGGTATGATACTTAAAATCAGCAACTAAAGTTAGAAGGGTTACTGGGCATGGGATCCCTGATAAGAGCTTACTTGGATGTTGGGTAGCAATGGGCATATTTAGATTTTAAGTTTATTGTTGAAAGTATTGCAGATGTCCCCTTTATTTCCCCCCATTGACCTCTTCCTCACTCCTTCCCTCTCTAAGCCTTCACTGCACTATGCATGGGTTTTGCATATATGCATATAAGTTCTTTGGTTAATCCCTTCCCACTCCATACCCCCCCCCCCCCCTTCCCTCTGCGAATCCTCGGTCTGTTGCATGCTAACAAAAAAGTCTAATGGAGAGGATGAGGGAATGTCTGGAACTCCAGCCTATGAAAAATTTTGGATCATGTATTATGATCACCTAATGTGTTTTAAATTTCTTTCCCTTTCAGTGGGTCCTGAGACTGATTGCGGGCCATTACATGAAAAATGTTTTTTAAAAATGTCTCGAACTATTTTCATAACATTTTATTCACCTCATTTCCCTGATTATTCCTATTCCCATCAATTCCTCTTAATCCCTAACTGAGCAGTCCTTAATGTATATGATACCCGTTTGTCTCGGTGAGCCCATTTATTTCCAAGGCCTCCACTATTCGACGCAAGTAAGTTTCAAATCTGCAGGTGTGGTACTGATCTCTCCCAAACTCCAGTCTTGGGTCTCCAGCAGACTGCAGGGCATTTACACTTGGATCTTTTAAAAGTTTCAAATGATGTGTTTCAAATTAGATATGTCTTCCGCATCAATGCCCCCTCTCAAAATTTCTGCAAAACTCTCAGTCATAACTTCTGAGTTTTTATTTTTAAATATATTTTTATTGATTTCAGAGAGGGAGAGAGAGATAGAAACATCAATGATAAGAGAGAATCATTGATAGGCTGCCTCCTGCATGCCCCCTACTGGGGATGGAGCCCACAACCTGGGCATGTGCCCTTGACCGTACTCGAACCCTGGACCCTTCAGTTTGAAGGCTGATGCTCTATCCACTGAGCCAAACCAGCTAGGGCACTTCTGTGTTTTTAAATTATTTGTATTCTACATCTAACCAACATCAGTCCTGTGCAGGTTCAGTGAGCATGCAGTAGAAAGATAAGAGATTATTAGAGGGGAAGTTTTCAGAGTTGAGATCATGGAGGAAGTAGGATTTCCAAGTGATGGTAATAATAGATGACATGCATATACTGTACTTGGCCCCTTTCCAAATGTTTTTCATGTATTAAATTATTTAATCCTCACTGTGACCTGTGTGTAAGGCAGTTGTTAGTATGATCCCATTTTACAGACGAGGAAACAATTGGACTTGCCCAGTGAGATATAACAGTGAGCTCAGGGTTCTACTTAGTGGAGGCTGGGCCCCAGGTAGATGGCTTGGATGTGAGATGGGGAGGCACCCAACTCTGAAGAGAACCTTATCTAGACAATGATCTTGTCCTGTCAGTTACGATTCTACAATCTCCATAGTTCATCCACTTCATTTCCTTTGCTGTTAACTTGAATTCAGGTCTTCATTCCCCCCTGAATTATATAGTCTCCTAATGGATTGATATCTTCATTTTCTCTCACTACAAATCACTCCCCAAAGCACTATACCAAAGTTGTCACTTCTTTATCAAAATGTTTCAGTGGCTGCTCTTACAGAATAAAATTCAAACCCTTTATGTAGCTTTATGTAGTCAAGGCGTTCCTCGAGCTGGTTGCCACATAAATGTATGTTTTTAATTCTTAGTGCTCCTCTTCACACATCTGAAAATCAAATGTGTGAAAAGCCAGAGCTGGCAGAGCAGTAAAAACAGATTTTATTCAGAACTATTGCAACAGGGGGAAAGAGACCTCAATAAGAATTGGGTCCTGCCCTTTCCAGGTGGCTCAGTTGGTTGGAACATCATCCTGTGCTCCAAAGGGTTTTGGGTTTGATCCCTATTCAGGGCAAGTAGGAGAGGTACCCGATCAGTGTTTCTCCCCTGCTCCCCATTCCTCTCTCTACCATCAATTAGAAAAAAGACACAAAAACATGTCCTTGGGTGAGGATAAAAACACCTCTGGCCTAATTCTGAATACAGCATGGCCAGGTGGGGATTTATAGCTAAGGAGCAAGGGTGGGGGTAGTGGATGAAAATTTTCTAAGAGGAAACATTCAGGGGTGAGAGGGGTTTGGGCTAAACTGACCTAATAGGATCCTTGCTGAAGACAGGCCAGGGTGGTTAGACGTTGCTATGAAGTGATCTGGAGGATGGGGGAATTGCTAAAGTGGGTGTAGAAGGTTCAGGATCCTGAGTAAGATTTAGTCAAGCAAAGAATCTTGTCACATCAAATAGCAAGATTATAACAAGGCCACATACAAACTTAACGTTCATGACCATGAACTTGTTTGCTCAACAGTGTACCCAAAACTTGCTCCAGTTCCTCACATCCAATCAATAAAAATCGGAGTCCAAGAGGACCTGAGAAACCATTTTCAATCTCCCACTCTGCAGAAACTTTCAACTACTCCTGACAGATGATGATTCATTCTCTATTGTAATATCTTCAGGGAAAAGAGGCTCGTTGCAGCAGGCAAAAGCAGGCAATTCCACTGTTGAGCATTCTGGAAATTAAGTAAAACCAAATTCTATCTTCTTGTAAGCTTCTGCCTTACAGTTAGCTTGTGGTTTTGTATTATCTGTGAAATGAGGATGGGCAAGATTTCCAAGGACCCATCAGTCATAGCAAAAGCAATTTCATTCCTAACTACCCCCACGCACCCCAAGTTATACCTGTTCTTTGAGATCCAACTCAGTAATTCTGAGGAAGGATATTATGTGATAAGTTTCCAAGTAAGGGAAGAGCCTGGTTTTATCTGAACATTCCAGCTGATAGAAGTGTGACAGTGTTGATGGAGAAAAACATCTTAATTTTTTTTAATAATTTTATTTTACGTGGGATATATTACATATACATACTTTAATGTGTTATTTTTTGTTTAATCTTATATTCATGCCCTTGTTTCCATGACAAATACTCTTTTTAAAAATCTTATTTATTGCCGAAACCGGTTTGGCTCAGTGGATAGAGCGTCAGCCTGCGGACTGAAAGGTCCCAGGTTCGATTCCGGTCAAGGGCATGTACCTTTGTTGCGGGCATATCCCCAGTAGGAGATGTGCAGGAGGCAGCTGATCGATGTTTCTCTCTTATCGATGTTTCTAACTCTCTATCTCTCTCCCTTCCTCTCTGTAAAAAATCAATAAAATATTTTTTTTTAAAAAAATCTTATTTATTTATTTGTAAAATATATTTTTATTGATTTCAGAGAGGAAGGGAGAAGGAGAGAGAGAGAGAAACATCAATGATGAGAGAGAATCATGGATCGGCTACCTCCTGCACACTCCCTACTGGGGATCAAGACCGCAACCCTGGCATGTGCCCTTGACCGGAATTGAACCTGGGACTTTTCAGTAAGCAAGCCCACGCTCTATCCACTGAGCCAAACTGGCTAGGGCTTAACGAATTGTGTGGGGTTTTTTAAAAATTAAATGATTGTTGTTGTTTTTTAAGCTCTCCAAAGATATTTTCTTTTTCTTTTAAATTGTTTATAAAGTTTAAATTTTTTCTACTTTAAAAAATGAAATTTCAGTCAGGTGCACTATTTTAAATATGTCAGCAAAGAACTGAAGATTTTGAAATGAATCAAAAATTATATGGACTATTTTCTACATACAAAGAGAAGAAATATGGTCAGAGAGTGGTTTCTCCAGGAATGATAAAGGATTCTTCCTCCACAGGCGTATTTTTTTCTTGTGTATTCTCTGCTTTGGTCGCTGACACCATCAACTTGTTAGTCAGCCAAGCCAGAAACCTGGGAATTGTTCTGGATGCATTGTTTCTCCATCTCTCACCTATACAGCTTGTCTGTCAATATCCTGTCTTGCCCATTCTTGTGACTTATACTTTGGCCTAGGCCATCCTTAACTCCATCCAGGACTTGGACACCAGCCTGAGAGTAGGTCTTTTTGTTTCTAAAGTCTTCTCCAATCCATTCTTCATACCTATGCAGGATGACAGCACCTCAAAACCTTTCAGTGGCCCCTCCTTATCCCCTAGGTCAAAGTTCAAATTCTTTGTCACGACACAGCGCTTTTCATTTCCTAGCCCTGCCTACTTTCCCATCCTACCTCTTAGTACCCTTCTCATTCCAACTTCCACACGTTTTACGCTGAAGTGATGCAGAACTACAGTGACGGGCACAAATATTGTTACATACCTCTGTGCCTTTACACATACTATTTCTTTCTGAATGCCCTCTCCTCTTTGTTCACCTGATAACCTTTCAATGCACTAACTGAGCCACTTTAGCTGGGCTGCAGGATAATTTTTAAAAATTTAAAAATGTCTGCCTCATGGATATGTCCAGTACAGGAAACAGT